GTCAAAAGTACTGCCCTGTAAATCCCTGGTCTTCCTGCTTTCTTCTTCGTTGCTCACAAATTTTTCCCCCACGTTGTTGCCACTTCGTACTCAGACGCAGCCATAATTATGCGGAGATATATACAAAAATAGAAGCTTTTGCTTCTATCAATCACTGGGTGCAGCTAGTTTTTAATAGCTGGCAAACTAAGCGCACGTAATCTTAGCACATTCTGTGCATATTCGCATGTTGTCCTCTTGCTAGGTCAGTCCTAACGTTTTCGGGTGCTGTTAAGATTGGTCAGTGTTGAATTTTACAAGCTAGCATTCGCAGAAGTAATCCTTTTGGTGTGCATGTCCTTTTCTTATACAGGCTGTTTCACGTGAAGTATGATGCCGTTACCCTTCTTAGATTTTGGTGTAGTTTAGTAGTAGACCCTCAGAGTGCATCGTAGCCCAGCCCCACCTGCCAATTCATGCGCTAAGTCCTGGAAAATGCGCTTATAGGTTAGGTAGTAGACCCCCCAAGTACATTGTAGCCCAAACCGTCTTGCCAATCTGCGCTAAGTCCTGAAAAATGCGCTTCAAAACTCCACCCATGAGGCTAAAGCGCCTCAAAACTCCACCCATGCGCTAAGTCCTGAAAAATGCGCTTCAAAACTCCACCAGCTCCGCCCACTTCCATTAAAGGGGCGTCATTGGTGGAGTTATGAAGCTCGCCGGCAACCTATGGCCCTTCCCATATTGTTAGCGATGAATTGACAGGCGGGGTTTGGGCTACTACTTCGCGGGTTCTACTACCTAACTCCACCAAAATCCGACAAGGGTCCATTTTGCCTGTCCACTGCCTTTAATGAAGGCAAAAACTTTGTCTTTATCAGTAGGCAAGAAATCATAGAACTTTTAGTTCTCTTCTGTGATATTTATGTCTGGCCCGCAAAGCATTTATCTCTTTCATTTCTTTTCCAAAAACTCTTTAAACTGCGCGCAATAGTTTCTGGTACCCTCTCACCAGATTTCCTTTTAGCATATTTAATGGCATGAGTTTTGGAAAGCAGACTTTATTCTTTCAGGTACAGAAAGGATATCCATGGGTTAAGAATGTGCGAGTTAAAAAGCAGAACATCATTTTTTTT